TTATACTGTATTATGACAGCACTTTTTTTAAACTAAATTTCAATATCGTGATAATACCGTATACCGTGATAAAAGCATTAGCAATTAATCGCAACATGAGAATTTGATACCGGCATATCCCTACTCTGAAAGCGCTCAAGACATGCGTGATTATATTAGTGGATGCTCGAAATTGAACGGGAGAATGCACGTATTAAACGGCTTATTGTACAGGTAAATTAATCGGCGTTCTAATCTAATGCGCTGCTGCACTGTAACGCACACACATAGGCTTCAGACAGTAGCGCGTACATCACGAGTCATTCAGCGCGGAAATGTATTGTCAACACTGTTCTGTGATTTCTCAATAAAATAGTTTAGAAACTGAAAAGTTCAAGCATATATTTCTTAACTAAATTCCACAGCCTCACTACTAGTAGAGAGACGCTGCCAGGTAGAATTAATTCACACACGCAATCGCTCTCACTAATGCATTCATATTAATGTAATCTTTACTGTGCTACTTTATCTGTGAGATCTGTGAGAAATATAACGACCCAAAGACAAAAGAACTGATAAAAAAAGCTGTTATAAGAGCAACAGCCATGTGGGCAGCGCTGTGTTATATGCCATAGCTGTGCACAAGCTGTTTGTCACAACTCCAGACTTATTTGTTCATTAATGACGTCATCAGCGACTAGTCGACTTCGACTTGACTTTCATCACATAAGAGGCGACTTCAAAAAATCAGAAGTCGTTCAACCCCTAATATACACGCATACATATACATATACACATATATACACACACACACATATATTTATTATATACACACACATTTAGAATTTAGAACAGGGAATAAATAAATATCCTTCACATATTTTGTATAGAGCTCTATGGCTCACAAAACCTGAAATGGAAAAATGTCAAGATCCATGAGGCCAGATCTGGTGTCAGACATCTGATATAGTTTCTTAGGAATTCTTGTTTGCTTAGACAAAGCTACTTCACAGAGGTACAGACAGAGCTCTTATCACTCATCCACTCACCTGTGACGCCACCGGGGAAGGGGTTGCTAACAGCAACAGTGGAGAAGGAAGAGGAGGCGGCTCCACCGAAGGGTGTGATGACAGAGGAGGAGCCACCAAACGGGGTGAGCCCAGTTGTGCGGCTGTTGTAGTTGTTGGTGGGGCCCTTCAGGGCAGGTGACTGACCCATCTGAGTGGGGTCTGGTCCGTAGAGACCCATGTGTGACCCAGGGGTGGGATTGGTGGGATCTGGTCGGTACTTCTGTGTAGGACCCTTGTCCTCTTTACTCTTGACACAGCCCATAGTCAAGCCTGTGGAGAGATGAGTTAGTATTTACCAGCTCTCATGGCATTTTTGCAAAACGAACGCAATTTTGACTTATCATAGCAATTGCAACCATTTATAGCTACAATAAATATAATGTAAAACGCGTCACATCAGACTGATGAGATTCCCTGAGAGAGGCTCTTTGACACAATGGACCCTTTTCATAGATTGTGATGTGATGACGCATTTCCACATTGTTAACATCATCAAGAAACATTTCATATTATCAATGTTGAAAGCAGTCGCTACTTAAATTTTTTGTTAAACCGTGATGTTTTTTAAAAGATTCTATGAAGCAGCATTTATTTAAAATAGAGCTGCAACAACTAATCAATAAAATTGATTATAATTGACGATGAAAATAATCAATAATGAATTTGATTAGCACTCATCTGCATGCTTTGCACAGATAACCTTTGCTGGTCATGTCACTTTACAGTACTGAATAATGCATTTCTATGGGCAAAATCCATACAGCATAGGGGTTTTCCTGAGCATGTAACTTGCTTTTCACATTTGTATCTTTATCTGTAAATGACAGAAAGTTACCATTTTTTTTCCATTTTGCTTGCAGGGTAATCATGAAAGCTAGTGGGTCTCTGTAACTTCACATTCTTCACTAAATGAACGCTGTCACATGTACTGTATGTGCATCAAAACAGACGGCACACAATAGAATAGGACTGCAATAGATCTGACTTAAAACATTTTGATCAAATATTTCTTGTTAGACATTAAACAGTTTTACAATTTTACATGCAACACAAGTAATTGTAGTTTTATAAGAGCAGTAACAGTAAAGGGACTTAAAGGGAGTTCATGGACAATGTAATTACTATGTATACTATTAATATATTACTAATGTAATTGGTTACTATGTTTGAACAGTTAACATTTAGTCTGTTTTAATTTAGTGAATTTAAGCAAGCAAGCCGATTTTGTTGCTTTGTTTTAGAATGTTTATATTTAACCCTTTTTTGCACATAATGTATAGCCTATAGATACATTAACTATATTTGTTTTCATAGCCTTCAAACTGCAAATTGTTTGGAGAACAGCATGTGAAATAGCATTTTTAAAAAGGGATTAAAATGAATTATGTTTATAATAAAATTATTACATTTTAATAATATTATTTAGGAATTTATAACCAGTTAATTGAAGAAATATTAGACAGATTAATCAGTTATCAAAATAATCTTTAGTTGCAGCCCTAGTTTGAAAACAAATCTTTTCAGCATTAAATTTAATGGGTCCTGGATGAATAAAAGTATTAATTTCTTAAGAAAAAAAAAAAAACATACTGCTCCCCAACGTGCGCTGTGCACATTTAAAATAAACAATTTTTGTGAGATCATCTTAATTTTAGGATGCAGCCTTCCGTTTGAGAAGCACCATTCACCTCCCTCATGCTCGCTAAAAGCCGCAATTACGAGAGTTGTGAGATAAAAGATTATTTTTATTTTTATTACCATTCGCCTCCCTCATGCTCGCTAAAAGTGATTAGAATTCTGATTAGTTTCCTGAATCGGATAGATAGTTTTAATGAACCAGTTCAAAAAACGATGAGGTTATTTTATGGTGGAACTGGCTTGTCAACAATTTTGAGTGGCGGAACTCTGCCGTGCATGATACAGAGAGCGCGACCATAACGTAGAGACCGAAATTACATGCCGTCATGTAAATAAGACGCCCCCCTAATATAATGGCAGGGGAAACACTGCTAACCCTTTAATCCATAACCCCAAGTATAAACCCAAGCAATAGTAATAAAAAAAAATTGGACAACTTTGTGGCGGAGGCTGCAAAATCTCACAGTTGTTCACTTGCTCTTCACATTTTAATTAACATTACACAATACGAAATAAAAGTGGGCATAAGAATGTCAAACAAGGAAATGTATTTTCACAATGGAGGAAACCTCAAATCAGACCTCAGCACAAGCATCTGCTTCTTGTTACTAGTCAAATCAAAACTGCTTTCAACAGATTTGCAGCAATGCACATGTCAGAGTTAATCACACAGGCATCTTTTGAGCAGCGCTGGGACACCGATCCACGTCCCTAACAACCCACACAAAAGTGTCAGGACATGTTGACTGCTCCGTGTGGTCAATGTGATTTACCCTCGCAAGCTGAGCTCCAGAGAGATGACAGTATAATCTCCAGACGCCCCGTCCCTGCTTGTGTTTCTGCCAGGCCTCTTTGTCTGGGCTGCACTCAGTACGACAGAGGCACACATGTGCAGGGGAATAAGGAATGCGAGCGTGGCCTTGAAGGAACAGGTGGCCCTAAGAGGAGCGTTACAAGACACAGCAGGGCCACCGCACAGGGAACACAGATAGCTGGGAGAAACAGACGACGACAGACAAGAAGATACAGAGTGCAACAGTCGGTTTGGAAGTAAAAATCACATTCATTTCCTCCATAGGGGAGTTTTTCATTTTGAACAATGACTTTAAAGAAAGACCTACTGGAAGCTAAAAGGTTGATGATCAAAGGTATATGTAGGGCCCTATGCCTGAAAACGCAGAGGGAATCATGGAATTCAGTCATAAAAACGGAATTCACTTTATAACGCAGAATGGCATGGACTTTGCAAATTATGGATGGATAAATCAATAGTAGGTCAATACACTTGGATCAAAACACGATATGGACTAGTGTCTGTGAATATTAAGCCACAAAAAGACTATTTAAATATAAATCCTGCATGTTCTGCATGTCTCTGTGTGAATGAATGGCACAAACGTGCGGTTTCGTTTACTACACACATACTGAAGCGCGCGTGGCGCTCGTGGTGTTTTCTGTCTCTGCCGCCTCAATATATGAGTACACGAACAATCAATCTCAAGAACTGCTCTGAGAGTCACTTCATGAGCATTTTTATTTTTCCGTTTCTTTTGAGAAAAACTATCGTCATATCATATATAAACAGAAACCTAAAGGTCTTCACAGCAACCCGTCAAAATAAAAGTTCAGTTTAACTTGAAGAAACTGTGACAGAAATATATTACTTAGTGTAATGATACTAAGTACTAATGATACTAATAGTACTACTACTACTACTAATAAAATTATTAAAACGTCATTCTTTTCATTAAAACATTATTCCTTAAGAAATATTTACCAGAAAAATTGTTTACCAGAATTTATTTAGCAGAAAAATTTAACAACAGTATTGCTGGGAAAATAAATAAATAAATAAAATAATAAAAGATAATTATTTTTTTTTAATTAATTAGAGATTATTTTCAATAAAATCTACTGAAACTAAATAATACTAAAATGGAGTCCAGAAAAGTAATGAACAACAGAATTTGGTAAAAATAAAACTGAATTTGTGAAAAAATTAAATAAAACACTTTATAGGGCCTTCATGTAATTTCTGTCAAACTTTTAATAAATTGCTTTTAATTGTGCAAGTTTCATGATTTCATTGTTTTTTTTTTTTATTAATAAAATGTAATTCTATAAAGATTAAAATGGGGAAAAAAACAAAAAAACAAAAAAAAAACAACAGAATCCAGGAAAATGGAAACAACTGAATTTGGAAAAAAATTAAATGGAATTTGGGGAAAAAATAAAACTGATTTCATAGGGCCCTAGTATATGCTTTTGTTAAAGCCAGCAGGCAGCTTTTTTTAAACCACCATGGTCAACAGTAAAATTCCTGGTGAAAATCTACCAATCAGAGAATAAAAACAAGCGACTCACACAAAAATAACTGCTTAGTATTCGTATGCACTGAAACAAATTGGTGTACAAATAATTTTATATTTATTTCCAAGGGCATTTTTTTTATATTTGTATGGTCAATTTTTAAAGTTAGCTTTTATAATTACCATTACTAATTGCATCCGTGTTTTTTTTATGTCAAATACTTAAATTAAACCAATTACTTAAAGTGCCCCTATTATGGATTTTTGAAAATTACCTTTCATGCAGTGTGTAACACAGCTCTAAGTGAATGAAAACATCCTGCAAAGTTTTAAATCTGAAAGTGCACCGTGTATGAAGTTATTGTCTCTCAAAACAAAGAGTTGACTCTGAAACATTGAAACGAGTCATTTTTAAAACGAATCCCAAGCCGTTTCATGTTGACGTCAACATGAAACATTAGCATATTGCCCGCCCACTTGTTGGCGCAGACCCGGGAAAACTTGAAAACTTTTTCTGAATGAAAATGCAAATTCATTCTTTGCCACTAGGTGCCACTTTTGGAGCGGTAAAAATTGCAGTTTCCCCGGTAACGCTGTACACAAAGCAGCTCTGCGCTCACAAACGCTGCTTTATCAGGCATTACAAACATGATGAAATGAAACTGAAATCGACCAATCACTGCAGATTAGTGTCACGCTATAAACTGTTACCAATAACAACAAACTATTTAAAATTGTATACAAATTATACATTTAAAAAACAAACATTATTGGGTACAGGGTAGGCCTGCAATATTACGACAAAAATCATCGAAGCTGCAAAATTAACTTCTTACTTGCATCTTTTCTGCACTCTATTGTTTATGATGAAGAGAATTTACAAGTGCACAGAATTCAGTCAGTGAGCGCATGCACAAAACGCCAGTGTTTTCAGTGCTGAAAATCAAATGCCTCTGATTTGCCATTGCATTCAAAAGCTCAACAGAAATTTGTGTGACTGGTTATAACGCACAATGCTGCAAAAAACACTGCGTGAAAAACAACATGATGCAATGTGCACAGCCCTAAATGTAATTCTGCAAATTTACACTTTTCATTAATTTTCACATTTCATTTTAATTGCAATAGATTTAACTTGTGCAGGAGCAATTTTTGCCCCTTTATCTTGTATTTGAGGGGAATTTTTGTTCTTTTTGGTGCCATTTTTGCCACAAGCCCCCGTTATAGCTTCATAGCTGCCTGGTTTAGTTCATGGCTTGTAACTTAATTTTCACGAAAAAATAAAAATCACTCTGCTCGATCTTAGTTTTGGGTGCGTCGATC